CAATGCTTTCCAAAAGCACGAGCAGTGAACTCCAGGCCCACGTGACTGAACTAAAAATTGAAAGAAACAGACTGAGAAATGACGTAAGCTCCATGATCAAAACTGCCAAAAAGAATTTCATCAATGACAAAACTGAGGAAAACAAAAATAAACCCCGTGAACTTTGGAAATGACTCAATAACCAGCTTGGCTGCAGTAAAAAACTCAAAACGAGATTTTCAAACGTAAACATAAAGACAGATAACAGGCTCATCACAGACAAACTGGATGTGGCCAAGTACTTGAACATTTTTTTCACAAACATAGCCACAACTCTTGTAAATAAATTACCCTCCCACTCAGGGCTTTTTGGAGTAGATCACATCATGACCTACTACAAAAACCTAGGGGTACGCAAAGATGATTTCAGTCTAGCAAGGGTAACAACAGCAGAGGTACTCATTAAACTGAGCGCCCTCAAACCTAACAAGGCCACTGGCCACGACAATATCCCCTCCAAATTCCTCAGAGACACAGCAACCGCCATCTCACCAGTCATAGCTCACATAATTAACCTCTCCATAAAACAGGGAAAAGTACCCAAAGACTTCAAAATTGCAAGAGTAACCCCCCTGCACAAAAAGGGCAGCAAATTGGACCCAGGCAACTACCGCCCTGTTTCTATACTTACCTCCATCTCGAAAGTCATGGAAAAAATAGTATATGAACAGGTCGAAAAGTACCTCGCAGAAAAGAAACTAATCTATGAATTTCAATCTGGCTTTAGAACATCCCACTCCACTGACACATGCCTTCTTTATTTGAACGACCACATCAAACAAGAGGTGGACGAGGGTAAATACTGCGGCATGGTGATGCTGGACCTACAAAAGGCTTTCGACACTGTCAATCACCCCATTCTGATTGACAAGCTAAAAGCAATTGGTTTTGATAAACTATCGGTGAGCTGGATGCAATCCTACCTGGAGGGGAGAGAACAGATGGTGGAGGTAAACGGTACTCTGTCCCCCCCCCTCCCAGTGAGCTGTGGTGTTCCACAAGGAAGCATATTAGGTCCGTTACTGTTCCTAATTTATGCAAATGACATGTCATCAGCATGTGCCTGCAACTTGTTCCTGTTGGCGGACGACTCAGCCCTGCTGGTCTCTGACAGGAGCAGATTGCAGGTTGAAAAAACCCTCAGCTCCGAGCTCGGCAGAATCTGCACCTGGCTCGCCGATAATAAATTATCATTACACCTGGGTAAAACAGAGTCCATTCTCTTCGGTTCGAAACATAATCTCAGCAAATCCGACGACTTCTCAGTTGCAGTGGGTGACATTATTGTCACAAGTAAGAAGGAAATTACATACCTAGGATCTATTCTTGAGGCAAACCTCTCCTGTGACAAAATGGCATCCAATGTAATAAAAAAAGTCAATCAAAGAACTAGATTCCTATACCGGATCTCCTCTCTGGTAACAAAAACACCCTGAAAACTCTGGCAGGAGCACTCATTCAAGGGTACTATGACTATGCTTGCACGTCATGGTACCATAGCACCTCCAAGGCGCTAAAAATAAAACTTCAAACATCGCAAAATAAACTGGTCAGACTACTGCTTGACCTTTCATCTAGAACCCACCTCACCTCTGCCCACTTTGACAACCTAGGATGGCTTAGAGTAGACGACAGAGTACAGCTACTTGCAATGGGCCTGGTCTACAAGATCCACTACACCTCTATGGTACCCATGTACATGTCAAAATTCTTCCCAAAGGTCAAGGAATACCATGATCATAACACCAGAGGGAGCTCCACAAATCATGTAAAACCCAGATTTGGCACAAAAAAAGGGGAATACACGTTTCGCAATTATGCCACATCAAGGTGGAACGCTCTTCCCTGTAAAGGAAAGTAAAACTATACTTACCTTCAAAGCCTCTCTTAAAGAGCACCTTCGGGGGAAAGCATTGCAAAACTGGCCCCGGTAATGGTACAAATCTCAACCTGTCGTACAATGGACAGCTTCCCCCCCCCCATCTATGTATATACTCGCATTTTAGACTCTGTTACTAACTGTATATCTGTAGACTTGGTATGTCTTAAATGTCCGGTTAGGATGTATTAGAACGAAATCTAAAATGTAAATTGTAAATAAGCCATCTGTATGTAAAAAACCAACTGTATGTAAATTGTAAATAAGCCATCTGTATGTCAAATATGTCTTATATGTCTTAAATGATATGATGAATTGGAAATGGGGGACCCTGATGTAAACAAGACGAAAGTCTTTCTCTGGTCTGCATCCCCTTAACAATTGTATGTTTTGAGCTGTACTGTACTGTACCCAATATACAAGCTGTTAATACACTTTTCAATCAATCAATCAATCAATCAATCAATCAATCAATCAATCAATCGAGGACAGCCATAGTCAGAGCTATCTGGATCAGTCTTATGCGACAATGGAAACTGAACTAAAGAGAACATTTGAAACTTTAGCAGTCTGCGTGATCTGCCTGCAGGGAGGGGCGGGCCGGCCCTGCGAGTAAAGTAACGAGATACTTTATGTAGAGAGTAACGAAGTAGTGTAATATATTACTTTTTTTTAAAGTAATATGTAATATGTAATATATTACTTTTTTTTAGTAACGACCCCATCTCTGGTGGAGATTATCCGGCTGAACAAAACGTGCATTTATCAACAGGTTCGTTTTCCACAGATCTTATTTCGAGCTATTTTCCAAAATCCTCTGGAGAAATCCCATTGGCTCTGAGACGAGGGAACCAATAGTTGTAAAATGCTAACTCACTTCTGGGTAGTAGGACTCATCACCGCACTATATCTCCGGTCAAGTAAAGCTAATATGTGTTTAGCTAGCTCGTGCTTAAAACAAATATGTAACTACAACTGATTTACTTGCAATAAACATTACAAATATTGGAGGCATGCGGTGCTGCACATTACCTGCTCGGCGAAGTCAGACAGAGAGGAAGTTGTAGCCGATGTCCGGTGCGTTCATGGTCATGGATAGTAATCGGTAGCATGGTGTTCACTTACTACGCGATCGCACAACGTAACGTACAGTAATTCCACAACCACACAAATGGATTAACATCGATTTAGCTGGGGCAACACAAATAAATAAATGAATGAATCTACTGGTTTCATAATTTGAACCAAAAGTGGTGCATTTTGCACTATTTTTTTTATTTATTATTATTATGTCCTATTTCTATTATGTTGCAATGTTGGAGGAGCTCGGGGTCTACGATTTTAAATGCCAAAATTACACTGTAGCTAGCATCTGATAACAAAAACCCTTGAACCTTGAACCTTAGTGGTGTTTATTTTTCACGGAGTTCAGTTGCTAAGCGATCACACAACGTCACGTCCGGTATTTCCACAACACAAATGGATTAACATCGATTTAATACTTTAATGTAGCCTTTGTTTCTGCTAACAGAGGTGTCGACCAGCTAGGGCCACAAGAAAATCGGCGAAATCGAGTGTGACGATAAAAAAATTAATTAAAAACATCTAATTTTGACAATAAAAACCGACCAATAGTCTTGGTAGAGCATTTGATGGCACTTCCGGGTATTTCTCCACTGGTTGGGCCATGTTAACAATACCGTGTAACTGTCACGTTTGAAGGGACGAAACCGTGACATATTCACGTCTCCCAGCGTGGTAGATCGTCACATGTTCACGTCTTGCCGTGATACCGGGTTGAGTCAACTGGACATCACTCTCAATGCGCAGATCTCTGCCCTGGTACAAACTCATCTCTACCGCTCTGCTTGGACGGCTAACCCTCTACATATCACACAAACATAGAGTGCCACAGTGACGCGTCCTGAAACTGTAAATCAGGTCTGTGGTTGAGACACATCGAAGAGACGGATCACGTTTTGTTCAGCCAGATCATCTCCACATGTCTTCCCTACTTTTATCATTTTCTAATCATAAATCTATCGATCTTAAATCTATCGATTAGATTCATGATGTCAACCACAGACCTTATTTCGAGCTATTTTCCAAAATCCTATGGAGAAATTGCATTGGTTTTTGTCGAAGGAACTGGATGTGGTCAAATGCTAACTTACTTCCGGGTTTTAGGACGCGTCACTGTGGCCCTCTGTGGGTGTTTCTCAATGTCGAGTACGCTTGCTTGGTAGCACATGTCTGCCGAGCATCTTGCTTCAGAAGCGAGGCAAGAATACTTCCTGACATTCGGAAAACGAAGAGTGGAACACGCTAGCAAGTGTGCAGGTGTGCGTCATATGAGAGGCCCCGCCTCTTACATCTTCCGCCACAGATTTTGGAAATTGGTCCGTGCGCAAAGCATTGTGGGGATTTTAAGACCGTGGAGTCTACTCATGTGCAGCCTCGATATTTCTCCAAACGGAGTACGCCGGGCTCGGTAGATTTCCAAGTATGCTGGAGATTGGAAAAAGTACTTCGGCGGCACTCGATGACGTAGCATGCTTGAAATAATGGCTCTGCAGCAGCTTTACTCGCGATTGAGAAACACCCTGTAGCCTACGATCTCAAAATGACATGACTCTGTCCGTCCCCTCAGTACGCACTGTGCTTGGGGAAAAAGCCACATCATACTCTGCCCCCTCGACCTGGAACGCACTTCAGCAGGAACTTAAGCTGACCACTTTGATACCCATCACAGATTTTAAACTCATTTAAAAAAAGCTGTAGAAATCCTCTGTGGGTGTTTGCCCCTGTGTTGAGTGTCCTGTCTGTCTGGAGCTGTGTGTGGTGGTGTTACCACTGAACAGGCCTCTCTTGAGAATGAGACCCTGTGTCTCAATGACATTCACCTGTATAAATAAAGGCTAATATTTATTTTTTAAATAATATAATATATAATATATTAAAAGAATATATAATTATATAATATATAATAATATAATATCATGTCATGTAGTATAGTTTGATGTAATATGACGCTCAGTGACGGTGATGACGCTCCTCTTTCCCTGCTGCAGATTTGAAATGCAGCGCATGCGCAGAGTGTGCGGACAGATTTAATGAGTGATAGACGGAGCGCTGCGGACCGGACTGAGGTGAGGGTTTCATGTTTCATGTTTCATGTTTCATGTTTCATGTTTCATGTTTCATGGTTTAATGTTTAACGTTTTGATGGTTTGATGTGGCAGTAAGCTTGACAGTATATAGAGTCCCGGATGTTGCCTCCACACGGAAGTATTCTGAAACTCACTTTAAACACATCCAAAGTTCTCCAGCTGCAGAACCGAGCCCAACTCCGGGGTTCAGACCAGCTGAGAGACCGGAGAGACAGACACAACATATACAACCGAGTCTCAACATGAGGGGTGCGGACTCACAAAAGCAACCAGGCATTTCTTAAACTGTGATCCGTGTGAGACTGAAGAGGTGTGTGTGTGTGTGTGTGTGTGTGTGTGTGTGTGTGTGTGTGTGTGTGTGTGTGTGTGTGTGTGTGTGTGTGTGTGTGTGTGTGTGTGTGTGTGTGTGTGTGTGTGTGTGTGTGTGTGTGTGTGTGTGTGTGTTGTGTGTGTGTGTGTGTGTGTGTGTGTGTGTGTGTGTGTGTGTGTGTGTGTGTGTGTGTGTGTGTGTGTGTGTGTGTGTGTGTGTGTGTGTGTGTGTGTGTGTGTGTGTGTTGCACAATAATGCGTTTTCACGGTGACCTGGACACGCCCCTCAGTCACACCTTCAACACACCTGAGATCAGGAAGCAAGTACTTCCTGCTCCGAGGAACACCTGAGCATATGCAAATGAGAGTGTGTGTGTGTGTGGCAGTCGGTCCGGTTCTCCTGTCAGTTAGTGTTTGTTTTGCCTTCATCATCTGTCAGCTGACTCATACACACACAAACAGTTTTTAAAGAGTCCTCTCCTGCTGATGTTCAGGTGTATATCAGTATGTAGTGTCTCTACTTTAAAGAGTCCTCTCCTGCTGATGTTCAGGTGTATATCAGTGTGTAGTGTCTCTACTTTAAAGAGTCCTCTCCTGCTGATGTTCAGGTGTATATCAGTATGTAGTGTCTCTACTTTAAAGAGTCCTCTCCTGCTGATGTTCAGGTCTATATCAGTATGTAGTGTCTCTACTTTAAAGAGTCCTCTCCTGCTGATGTTCAGGTGTATAACAGTATGTAGTGTCTCTACTTTAAAGAGTCCTCTCCAGCTGATGTTCAGGTGTATATCAGTATGTAGTGTCTCTACTTTAAAGAGTCCTCTCCTGCTGATGTTCAGGTGTATATCAGTATGTATTGTCTCTACTTTAAAGAGTCCTCTCCTGCTGATGTTCAGGTGTATATCAGTATGTAGTGTCTCTACTTTAAAGAGTCCTCTCCTGCTGATGTTCAGGTGTATATCAGTATGTAGTGTCTCTACTTTAAAGAGTCCTCTCCTGATGATGTTCAGGTGTATATCAGTATGTAGTGTCTCTACTTTAAAGAGTCCTCTCCTGCTGATGTTCAGGTCTATATCAGTATGTAGTGTCTCTACTTTAAAGAGTCCTCTCCTGATGATGTTCAGGTGTATATCAGTATGTAGTGTCTCTACTTTAAAGAGTCCTCTCCTGCTGATGTTCAGGTGTATATCAGTATGTAGTGTCTCTACTTTAAAGAGTCCTCTCCTGCTGATGTTCAGGTGTATATCAGTATGTATTGTCTCTACTTTAAAGAGTCCTCTCCTGCTGATGTTCAGGTGTATATCAGTATGTAGTGTCTCTACTTTAAAGAGTCCTCTCCTGCTGATGTTCAGGTGTATATCAGTACGTAGTGTCTCTACTTTAAAGAGTCCTCTCCAGCTGATGTTCAGGTGTATATCAGTATGTAGTGTCTCTACTTTAAAGAGTCCTCTCCTGCTGATGTTCAGGTGTATATCAGTATGTAGTGTCTCTACTTTAAAGAGTCCTCTCCAGCTGATGTTCAGGTGTATATCAGTATGTAGTGTCTCTACTTTAAAGAGTCCTCTGTGTGCAGGTGTGCTGTCTGAAGATCCTCTAACGTCTCCATGGATGAAGGTAAATAAACTCTTCTTCATGTTACAAAACGTTTATAATACATATATATATATATATATATGTATATATATGTATATATACACAGGATGTGAGGGTGCAGTGTGTCCAACAGGGGGCGTGTCTCTCTCTGGTAATAGGATTATCACCACACACACACACACACACCCTCTCTCTCAGTCTGCAGGCGCTCGGCTGAAGGTAGGCTCACTGCTCTCACTTTAGATTATTTAGACTCTTCCTGTCTGAATTGGTTATATTATTGTTATTGTTTATGAATCAGTGCAGAGGGGTGTGTGTGTGTGTGTGTGTGTGTGTGTGTGTGTGTGTTGTGTGTGTGTGTGTGTGTGTGTGGGTGTGTGTGTGTGTGTGTGTGGTGTGGTGTGTAGTGTGTGTGTGTGTGTGTGTGTGTGTGTGTGTGTGGTGTGTGTGTGTGTGTGTGTGTGTGTGGTGTGTGTGGTGTGTGTGTGTGTCGTGTGTGTGTGTGTGTGTGGTGTGTGTGTGTGTTGTGTGTGTGTGTGTGTTGTGTGGTGTGTGTGTGTGTGTGTGTGTGTGTGGTGTGTGTGGGGTGTGTGTGGTGTGTGTGTGTGTGTGTGTGTGTGTGTGTGTGTGTGTTGCACACCTCATGCGTTTTCCCGGTGCCCTGGACACGCCCCTCAGTACACCTTCAACACACCTGAGATCAGGAAGCAAGTACTTCCTGCTCCGAGGAACACCTGAGCATATGCAAATGAGAGTGTGTGTGTGTGTGGCAGTCGGTCCGGTTTCTCCTGTCAGTTAGTGTTTGTTTTGCCTTCATCATCTGTCAGCTGACTCATACACACACAAACAGTTTTTAAAGAGTCCTCTCCTGCTGATGTTCAGGTGTATATCAGTATGTAGTGTCTCTACTTTAAAGAGTCCTCTCCTGCTGATGTTCAGGTGTATATCAGTGTGTAGTGTCTCTACTTTAAAGAGTCCTCTCCTGCTGATGTTCAGGTGTATATCAGTATGTAGTGTCTCTACTTTAAAGAGTCCTCTCCTGCTGATGTTCAGGTCTATATCAGTATGTAGTGTCTCTACTTTAAAGAGTCCTCTCCTGCTGATGTTCAGGTGTATAACAGTATGTAGTGTCTCTACTTTAAAGAGTCCTCTCCAGCTGATGTTCAGGTGTATATCAGTATGTAGTGTCTCTACTTTAAAGAGTCCTCTCCTGCTGATGTTCAGGTGTATATCAGTATGTATTGTCTCTACTTTAAAGAGTCCTCTCCTGCTGATGTTCAGGTGTATATCAGTATGTAGTGTCTCTACTTTAAAGAGTCCTCTCCTGCTGATGTTCAGGTGTATATCAGTACGTAGTGTCTCTACTTTAAAGAGTCCTCTCCAGCTGATGTTCAGGTGTATATCAGTATGTAGTGTCTCTACTTTAAAGAGTCCTCTCCTGCTGATGTTCAGGTGTATATCAGTATGTAGTGTCTCTACTTTAAAGAGTCCTCTCCAGCTGATGTTCAGGTGTATATCAGTATGTAGTGTCTCTACTTTAAAGAGTCCTCTGTGTGCAGGTGTGCTGTCTGAAGATCCTCTAACGTCTCCATGGATGAAGGTAATAAACTCTTCTTCATGTTACAAACGTTTATAATACATATATATATATATATATATGTATATATATGTATATATACACAGGATGTGAGGGTGCAGTGTGTCCAACAGGGGGCGTGTCTCTCTCTGGTAATAGGATTATCACCACACACACACACACACACACACACACACCCTCTCTCTCAGTCTGCAGGCGCTCGGCTGAAGGTAGGCTCACTGCTCTCACTTTAGATTATTTAGACTCTTCCTGTCTGAATTGGTTATATTATTGTTATTGTTTATGAATCAGTGCAGAGGGTGTGTGTGTGTGTGTGTGTGTGTGTGTGTGTGTGTGTGTGTGTGTGTGTGTGTGTGTGTGTGTGTGTGTGTGTGTGTGTGTGTGTGTGTGTGTGTGTGTGTGTGTGTGTGTGTGTGTGTGTGTGTGTGTGTGTGTGTGTGTGTGTGTGTGTGTGTGTGTGTGTGTGTGTGTGTGTGTGTGTGTGTGTGTGTGTGTGTGTGTGTGTGTGTGTGTGTGTGTGTGTGTGTGTTTTAAACTAATCCTCATTATTACAGATTACACACACTCTCTCCTGTGTACTGCAGTGTATCTGTGGTGTGTGTGTGTCAGAGAGCAAAGTGCATTTAAACAGTTTGAAACACTGAGCTGTGATTGGTCCACACACACACAGCTGGGAAATCCCTGTCCTGCTCTTCAGTGAACGCCCCGCTGTGAGTGTGTGTGTGTGTGTGTGTTACTGACGGACCTCCCCCCCTCAGAGCCCGTCAGCAGTAATGATGCTCAGGACCTGATCTCCACGCTGTCCCTGGGCTCCGGAGAGGACACCAGGAAGGGGCGGGGCCTGACTCACAACAACAACAACAACAACAACAGCAACACCGACAACAACATGGCGCCCAACCCTCACCCCTCCTACCTGCACCGCGTGGTGACGGAGATCATCGAGACGGAGAGGACGTACGTCAGAGACCTGCGCATGATCGTGGAGGTGAGTCTACCTGCTCAGATTATACAGCAGGTCCCTGAATGCAGCATCTCCTGGTCCAATGGGAAGTCAGAGAATAATCAAACGTTTATGATGCTTACATGTTGAGTTCAGCCGGAGAATCTCCACATATTAAGACCTCTTTGTGATTTCTGAGGTCAAAGCTAATGTTGGGCTATAAAGGAACTACAGCACGGTCACATGACTTCACGTCACCACCGCTAAGCTAAAGGTGGCTAATGTTGGGCTATAAAGGAACTCCAGCACGGTCACATGACTTCACGTCACCACCGCTAAGCTAAAGGTGGCTAATGTTGGGCTATAAAGGAACTACAGCACGGTCACATGACTTCACGTCACCACCGCTAAGCTAAAGGTGGCTAATGTTGGGCTATGAAGGAACTACAGCACGGTCACATGACTTCACGTCACCACCGCTAAGCTAAAAGAGGCTAATGTTGGGCTATAAAGGAAATACAGCACGGTCACATGACTTCACGTCACCACCGCTAAGCTAAAGGTGGCTAATGTTGGGCTATAAAGGAACTACAGCACGGTCACATGACTTCACGTTACCACCGCTAAGCTAAAGGTGGCTAATGTTGGGCTATAAAGGAACTACAGCACGGTCACATGACTTCACGTCACCACCGCTAAGCTAAAGGAGGCTAATGTTGGGCTATAAAGGAACTACAGCACGGTCACATGACTTCACGTCACCACCGCTAAGCTAAAGGAGGCTAATGTTGGGCTATAAAGGAACTACAGCACGGTCACATGACTTCACGTCACCACCGCTAAGCTAAAGGAGGCTAATGTTGGGCTATAAAGGAACTACAGCACGGTCACATGACTTCACGTCACCACCGCTAAGCTAAAGGTGGCTAATGTTGGGCTATAAAGGAACTACAGCACGGTCACATGACTTCACGTCACCACCGCTAAGCTAAAGGCTAATGTTGGGCTATAAAGAAACTACAGCACGGTCACATGACTTCATATCATCACCGCTAAGCTAAAGGAGGCTAATGTTGGGCTATAAAGGAACTACAGCACGGTCACATGACTTCACGTCACCACCGCTAAGCTAAAGGAGGCTAATGTTGGGCTATAAAGGAACTACAGCACGGTCACATGACTTCACGTCACCACCGCTAAGCTAAAGGAGGCTAATGTTGGGCTGTAAAGGAACTACAGCACGGTCACATGACTTCACGTCACCACCGCTAAGCTAAAGGAGGCTAATGTTGGGCTCTAAAGGGACTCTGAACAGCTATCAAGATGGCAGCACGTCTGTACCTGTCCGCTGTGCTTTCATGTCTGTTCTAGTGTTGTCTACGTGATATCTGTTATCTTTGTAAAACACCGGTCAATACCTGTGAGCTGTTTTGGACAGTACAACCAGGGCGAGCGTTGTTGCGTAACGTTACGGCTAAACATTACTGCCGTTCCTGGATGACTGGGATCACTCGATCCGCTTGGACTGCGCTCACTTCCCGGAGCTGAAACGCCACCTGTGTCGCGCTTGATTTTGGACTTTGGTGGACTGGGTTCGTTGAGCTAAAGCATAGCATGACTTTGGCTTGTGTTCCTGTTTACATGAGACGTCAAACAACGTCATCTTCGTTCTCGGGAGGATTGAAAGTCCGGACCGGATTCTCACCTCGCTGATCTGGCATTTCTCAACTTCGGCAGGACGGAAAACGTGGACGGGTTTCCTGTGCTGATTTTCGGATTTCTTCAGCAGGCCTTCTCTACCCCCTGACACATGGCACCCAGCATGTTTCTCCTAATACCTATTGACTATTCTCCATCCATATGAGGTGCGTGAACGGTGTGGAGACCAAACTGTGCCTCATCTTGTCTTCCCTAGTAAAGACACAAACTGGGATTCTACTTTGGTTAAGAGCTCTGTAAATTGGAGCATTCTAATCTCCAAGGATCTCATGACTCTACCTCGTCTTATTCGTCTTGTTAGTCCTTATAACTGGTTGTTTTCAATGAACTCATATTCCTATGGTGGAAAGAGAGTCATATATAATGAATCTATGCAAACAACAGCTTGGGAGAAAAGGAAATGTTTCATTGTTATCCTGCTCCTACTATCAGGAAATGTTCATCCAAACCCTGGACCAGATTGTAATTGTCTGAGTACCCCTGATGATTTTAAAGCAAGGTCGGGTCTTGGTATCATCCACATCAATGTCAGAAGTCTACTTCCTAAAATAGACCACATGAAAATCTGGGCAAAACCCTCTGATTCTGATGTTCTTGTTTTGTCTGAAACTTGGCTAAAGAAATCTCTCACGGACAAAGACATTGCACTTAAGGGTTACGATGTGTTTTGTTGTGACCGTCCCAGAAAAGGTGGTGGTGTCGCAATTTATGTAAAAACAAAATGTCATGCTGCCATCCAATCATCTGTGTCTCTCAGCAGACACTTTGAACTACTTGCGCTGGAATTGGAACTTCTTATATATATATATATATATATATTTGCAGCTAATGTTGGGCTATAAAGGAACTACAGCACGGTCACATGACTTCACGTCACCACCGCTAAGCTAAAGGAGGCTAATGTTGGGCTATAAAGGAATTACAGCACGGTCACATGACTTCACGTCACCACCGCTAAGCTAAAGGAGGCTAATGTTGGGCTATAAAGGAACTACAGCACGGTCACATGACTTCACGTCACCACCGCTAAGCTAAAGGTGGCTAATGTTGGGCTATAAAGGAACTACAGCACGGTCACATGACTTCACGTCACCACGCTAAGCTAAAGGTGGCTAATGTTGGGCTATAAAGGAACTACAGCACGGTCACAAGACTTCACGTCACCACCGCTAAGCTAAAGGTGGCTAATGTTGAGCTATAAAGGAACTACAGCACGGTCACATGACTTCACGTCACCACTGCTAAGCTAAAGGAGGCTAATGTTGAGCTATAAAGGAACTACAGCACGGTCACATGACTTCACATCACCACCGCTAAGCTAAAGGTGGCTAATGTTGGGCTATAAAGGAACTACAGCACGGTCACATGACTTCACATCACCACCGCTAAGCTAAATGAGGCTAATGTTGGGCTATAAAGGAACTACAGCACGGTCACATGACTTCACGTCACCACCGCTAAGCTAAATGCTAAGCTAAAGGTGGCTAATTTTGGGCGTGATGACGTTTCGTCGTCTCATTTAGACTCTTGTTAGCAACCTCTGTTTTTAAATCCACCAGTGGGGTATTTCCTGAGGTATTTTATTTGGTAGAACAAAGTGTGAAAGTGTCTTCACTCCCTGGAGAAACTGCTCCTCAGAAAGCTGCTCTCTATAATCACCAGGTCAAGATGTTCTGGATTAACTCTTATGTAACAATGAGGAGGCACACAGAGAGAGACTTTATTTATATCTTAATACATGTTCCCAGCATGTTGCAGGTACAGCTCACCTGGTTCAGGTTGATGTTTCTCTGCTGCTGAAAGTGCTTTTAAACAGTTTTGTACACACCTTGTTTACACACCTTGTTTACACACCTTGTTTACACACCTTGTTCACACACCTTGTTTACACACCTTGTTTACACACCTTGTTCACACACCTTGTTTACACACCTTGTTCACACACCTTGTTCACACACCTTGTTTACACACCTTGTTCACACACCTTGTTTACACACCTTGTTCACACACCTTGTTCACACACCTTGTTCACACACCTTGTTCACACACCTTGTTCACACACCTTGTTCACCTTGTTCACACACCTTGTTTACACACCTTGTTCACACACCTTGTTCACACACCTTGTTCACCTTGTTCACACACCTTGTTCACACACCTTGTTCACACACCTTGTTCACACACCTTGTTTACACACCTTGTTCACACCTTGTTCACACACCTTGTTCACACACCTTGTTCACACCTTGTTTACACACCTTGTTCACACACCTTGTTTACACACCTTGTTCACACCTTGTTCACACACCTTGTTCACACACCTTGTTCACACACCTTGTTCACACCTTGTTTACACACCTTGTTCACACACCTTGTTCACACACCTTGTTTACAAACCTTGCCCCCCCCCCCCCCAGGACTACCTGGCCCACATCATCGACGGCTGTGAGCTGAGCCTCCGCCCGGAGCAGGTCTGCGCTCTGTTCGGGAACATCGAGGACATCTACGAGTTCAACAGGTGCTCTTCATCATCATATCAAACATATTCAGATAGACCAACAGGTTGTTGTTGTTGTTGTTGTGGTGTTGACTGTCCCCTGTCCTCAGCGAGCTGCTCCAGGCTCTGGATCGATGTGAGAGCGACCCGGTGGCCGTCGCCCGCTGCTTCGTCATCAAGGTGATCCGTCCATCAGTTCATATCATCCATTCCTCTGCAGAGCATCTATCAAACTACTGTTTACCCTTCTGTGTTGATGTTTACCCTTCTGTGTTGTTGTTTACGTCTGTGTAAACATCTTTATTTACGGTCTCCTTTCAGAGCGAGTACTTCGAGATCTACACGCAGTACTGCACCAACTACCCCAAGTAAGATCTGCGTCCTCTACGTGTTTACAACTGTCTCTATTGTTTACGTCTGTCTCTATTGTTTACGTCTGTCTCTATTGTTTACGTCTGTCTCTATTGTTTACGTCTGTCTCTATTGTTTACGTCTGTCTCTATTGTTTACGTCTGTCTCTATTGTTTACAACTGTCTCTATTGTTTACAACTGTCTCTATTGTTTACGTCTGTCTCTATTGTTTACAACTGTCTCTATTGTTTACAACTGTCTCTATTGTTTACGTCTGTCTCTATTGTTTACGTCTGTCTCTATTGTTTACAACTGTCTCTATTGTTTACGTCTGTCTCTATTGTTTACGTCTGTCTCTATTGTTTACGTCTGTCTCTATTGTTTACAACTGTCTCTATTGTTTACGTCTGTCTCTATTGTTTACGTCTGTCTCTATTGTTTACGTCTGTCTCTATTGTTTACAACTGTCTCTATTGTTTACGTCTGTCTCTATTGTTTACGTCTGTCTCTATTGTTTACAACTGTCTCTATTGTTTACAACTGTCTCTATTGTTTACAATTGTCTCTACGTGTTGTCTCTGTTGTTGATGTGTTGTCTCTGTTGTTGACGTGTTGTTGACTTGTTGTCTCTGTTGTTGACTTGTTGTCTCTGTTGTTGACGTGTTGTTGACTTGTTGTCTGTGTTGTTGACGTGTTGTTGACATGTTGTCTCTGTTGTTGACTTGTTGTCTCTGTTGTTGACGTGTTGTTGACTTGTTGTCTGTGTTGTTGACGTGTTGTTGACATGTTGTCTCTGTTGTTGACGTGTTGTCTCTGTTGTTGACGTGTTGTCTCTGTTGTTGACTTGTTGTCTCTGTTGTTGACATGTTGTCTCTGTTGTTGACTTGTTGTCTCTGTTGTTGACGTGTTGTCTCTGTTGTTGACTTGTTGTCCTCCTGCAGCTCAGTGGCAGCTCTGACGGACTGCATGAGGTCTCAGTCTCTCTCTCAGTTCTTCCGGGAGCGCCAGGCGGCTCTGAAGCGCTCGCTGCCGCTCGGATCCTACCTGCTGAAACCAGTGCAGAGGATCCTCAAGTACCACCTGCTGCTGCAGGTACGCACACACACACACGCACACACACACACACGCACACACACACACGCACGCACACGCACACACACACGCACGCACACGCACACACACACAGAGCAGTCCCTGATGTGACACTGCCCCCTGCAGGAGATCCTGAAGCACTTCAACCCGCAGCAGCCGGGCTCCCAGGTGGTGGAGGAGGCCATCTGCACCATGACGGGGGTTGCATGGTACATCAACGAGATGAAGAGGAGGCACGAGCACGCTGTGAGGCTGCAGGTACACACACACACGCACACACACACACACACACACACACACACACACACACACACAGACACACACACACACACTCACAAAGACACACTCACAAAGACACACACACACACACACACACACACACACACACACACACACACACACACACACACAGACACACTCACAAAGACACACTCACAAAGACACAGACACACACTCACAAAGATACACACACACACACACACACTCACAAAGACACACACACACAGACACACACTCACAAAGATACACACACACAGACACACACTCACAAAGACTCACAGACACACACACACACTCACACAGACACACACACACAGACACACACTCACAAAGACTCACAGTCACACACACACACTCACACAGACACACATAAATGACTTTTCTGACTTTCTGTCCGGGATCATGGTGAAATATGATCGTGTTTTGGTCTCCGGAGACTTCAATGTCCATGTGTGTTGCGAGTCCAAACCTCTGGTTAGGGACTTTTTAAATCTCCTTGATTCCTTTGGTCTCGTTCAGTCCGTGGCCCAACACATGAAAAAGGACACACTTTGGACTTAGTATTATCGTTTGGACTGTCTGTATCTGTGGATGAAATCTGTGCAGCAACGCGTATCTCAGACCATTTACCGGTTCTGTTTACAACCTCCATCCCTTCCGCAGGAGTCGAATCACGTGCCCCTGCGCGTCGTCTGCGTTCGATTAACCCCTTGACTGCCTCACAGTTCTCTGATGTTTTTAATGCTTCTCCGATCTGTAAATTAGATGTGAACTGTGCTTTTAATGCTGATGAGCTTATCTCCATGTTTGATTCGACATGTACACTAATACTGGATTCTGTTGCTCCTTTTACGCTTAGACGCACCAAAGGTCTCTCAGAGCCGTGGCTCAATGACTGTACTCGTGCTCTCAGACACGCTTGCAGGCGTGCAGAGAGAACATGGAAAAAGGATAAACTCCATGTCTCCCTAGAAATCCTTCGTGCTTGCCTTTTTTTTTTTTTTTACAAATCTTTTTATTGCAAACAAGTCATAATCCAGCAAATGACAAGAAGTGAGAGCAGTAATACTAAACAGTACAGATGTTACAATTACAATGGGGATCATTACAAAGGACCTCCTTGAAATTGCATTCACTTCAGGGTTCGTAGAGTCCTTGTTTACAGTCTTTTAACCCCCCCACCCCCCACCCACAGGTATGGATGGCCCCAAATAGTAAAATAACTGAATAAGTCAGATACAATTATAAGTAAAACATAAATAATAATACTAATACAAAATAAAAAAATAATAAATAATAAAATAAATAAAGTCGAGAGCGAAAACAGTCTGCTGGTGTAAGGGAAGAAAATAATAGTAAACATTGTCGTCTTGGTGAGGAAAAAGGGTTTCATTAAGAGGGAAAAGGAAATATAGATAGTCTAGGGCAAAAGACAAAGGATCATGGCGGAAGAGCAGTAATATGAATGGTCACTTTTATTTAATTTATTCCCTTTCAGAGAGCTACCTGCGACTCAGCGTCAGAAGTGATAGGGAGTTCCTTGATAAGGCCTAATAGTGGGTCCCAGGTAGTACGGAAGGATTTCAGAGATCCTTTTAATGAGAATCTTAACTTCTCCATCTGAAGGCATTGCAAGACATCACGTATCCACTGATCATGTGTTGGTGGGGAATAGCTAGCTTCTAGAGTGGTGAAGGCAATGACACGGCGTATAGTAATGGGCATATTCTCAGATGGAGGAAGGCCGAACAGTGCAGTCATAGGATTAGGGTTTATCTTTGTGTTATAGGCCTGCTCAATGGTTCCAAATATGTCAGACCAAAATGTGTCCAGCCTCGGGCAAGTCCAGAACATGTGCAGATGGTCAGCTGGGGATTGATTGCATCTGTTACAGGCATCACTCCGGTCCGGGAACATTTTAGCCAGCTTAGCATTAGTAAAGTGAGCTCTGTGGAGCACCTTGCACTGGAGTAGGCCATGTCTAGCACAGATAGATGATGTATGGACTAGGTTGAGAACGTCACTCCATTGATCATCGGAAATGTTGCTACCTAGATCACGCTCCCAGAGCTCCTTAAGAGGCACCATAGGGTCCGGACTCAGGGAACCAATCTGACCATAGAGAACTGAAACCAAGCGCTTTTGCTCAGGGTCGAGTGTGAGAAATGTATCAATTGGCGATTCGGGGGGGGCGGTTAGGAAAATGGGGAAATTGCTTTTGGATGAAGTGCCTGATTTGGAAAGAACGGAAGAGATGACTGCTTGGCAGGTTGAATTTGACTGACAGGGACTCAAAGGATGAAAAGACTCCATCCTCGTAGAGGTCATTAAGTGTTGCCAGACCATTGTTCGACCAAACGCGGAAGGCCGGGTCAGTACACGATGGGGAGAATAGGTGATTGTTTGAAATTGGGGCGTGAACCGAAGCTCTATGTAACCCGTGCTGTTTCCTGAATTGGAGCCAAATGCTTAAGGTGCTAGTAACAATTGGGTTACTCAAATGTTTATGGGTCGCTACAGGGAGCTGAGAGCAGATTATAGAGTGCAAAGGAGCAGAAGATGACAGCTCGATATGTACCCAAGGTGGGCAGGGGTCTGAAAGTTTATATTTAGCCCAATAGAGGAGTTTGTTCATATTAGAGGCCCAGTAATAGTGGCGAAAGTTGGGGAGGGCCAGGCCCCCTTCTGATTTAGGGAGTTGGAGACACCACCTTCTAACACGCGCAGGCTTGTTGTTCCAGACGAACGCATTCAACTGCTTATCAAGATCAGTGAAAAAAGATGTGTTGATGCGTACAGGGATGTGTTGGAAAAGGTAAAGAAACTTTGGCAGGATGACCATCTTTATAAGGTTGACGCGACCCGCAAGAGACAGGGGAAGGGAGGCCCACCGAGACATATCAGCTTTGCATTTATCTAGTAGAGGCTGAACGTTTTTCGGGAACAGGTCTTTAAAAGAGTTTGCAACAAACACCCCCAAGCATTTGAACCCCTCCACAGCCCTTTTAAAGGGGAATAGGGGATTGGGGAAGTGCCTCTGCCATTTTATTTACAAAAAATACTTCGCTCTTTGAATGTTTAGTTTGTAACCTGATACACGGCCAAATTGATCTAAAATCGACAGTATGGGGGGGAGAGAGGATAAGGGGTTCGAGATCATAAGAAGAAGGTCATCAGCATACAGAGACAGTTTATGAACCAAGCCATGACGCGTAATGCCCTCAAACCTATCATGGCTTCTGAGCCAGATAGCGAGAGGTTCAATGGCTATATTGAACAACAGCGGCGAAAGAGGACACTCCTGGCGAGTACCACGTTGGAGAGAGAAAGGGGGAGATCGAATGCCATTAGTGTGTACAGAGGCAGATGGAGAGGCATGTAGGAGTTTCATCCAGGAAATAAATTGGGAATCGAAACCAAATTTATCAAGACTAGAAAATAGGAAACCCCACTCAACCCTATCAAAGGCCTTCTCTGCGTCAAGTGTCACTATGACTTCGGGGGTGTTAGAGGAAGGAGAGAAAATGACATCAAGCAACCTCCTTGTGTTAAAAAAAGAGTGTCTCCCCACCATAAAGCCTGTTTGGTCCAGCGAAATGATATCTGGCAGTGCGCGTTGGAGGCGGATAGCCAGTATTTTGGCCAGTATCTTACAGTCCACATTTAACAGTGAGATTGGTCTGTAACTGCCACATGAAGTAGGATCTTTGTCTTTCTTGAGAAGCAAGGAGATAGCAAGGAGATAGCAAGGAGATAGCAAGGAGATAGACGCAATGGACAACGTTTCTGGCAATCGGCCTGTCTGGAGAGAGTCATTGTACATCCTTGCCAAAATCGGGGCTAAGTTGAAAGAACATGCCTTATAGAACTGTATAGCCGTCAGGCCCAGGAGACTTCCCACTTTGCATAGATTTGATTGCATCATGTATCTCAAGGGTGGAGATGGGGCCGCCCAGTTCGCCAGCGATGTTCTCGTTAATTTTGGGGTATGTTAAGGAGTCAAGAGGATTGGGGGTCGTGGCAGGGATCGGGGGACAATCCGAAGTGTAGAGATTGGTGTAAACTTCAGAGAAAGCCCTGTTAATATCAGCTGGGTTAGAAGTAAGGCCATCGGACAATCTGATTTGGGGAATCAATCTGGACGCACTGGCCGCCGAGCTTGTTGAGCTAGGAGTCTACCAGCTTTGTCGCCCTGCTCAAAGTAACGTTGCCTACACTGTCTCAGTTGTCCTCTCAACATAGCCTGTCATTCAGAAGGTCCGTGTTCCTGAATGTGAGGCAGGAGGCGTTTTTTTTAGAGAAGAAAGGAGAGGGAGAGGAGAGAGGAGAGGTAGGAGTAGGGAGAGGATGGGAAGAGGTGCATCTTTGCTAGGAGGAGAGGGATGAGGCGGAGTAAAGTTTCATTCAATTCACATCGAGTAAAGCTGAAGCTCAACACAGATTTCTGAAAGCCTTTTCCTCTTTCCTCTTACGTGAAGTGTACGAAAGGACCTGTCCCCGTTGGCCTGAAGAGCCTCCCAGAGAATACCGCTGCTAACGTCGGAAGTGTCATTAATTTCAATGTAGGAAGAAATCTGAGTGGAAAGATAGTCTCTAAATTCACTGTCTGACAGCAGGGGACATACCAAGAGGGAAATTAATGTCAACCGAGGTGGGAGAATGATCTGAGATGGCTATCGGATGGTATACGCATAAATTGACTAGATGAATCAAATTGTTATCGAGTAAAAAGAAATCAATTGGTGAAAATGCTCTACTTTGCGGGTTAATAAATCTCCTGTCTGAGAGTCCTAATCGTGATGCGTTGTGCAGCACTACCTTGGCCCAATTGGAGAGAGTAGCTTGTGTGAGCGATGACCTGTCGAGACTCACATCCTGGACCAAATTCCAGTCGCCAGCCATAATAATACGATGGTTGTCGGCGTTGGGAATTTGAGCGAAGAGGTTCACAAAAAAATGACCATCATCCCAATTGGGAG